GCATATTTAATGTCTTTTTAAAATAATGTAATCATTCACAACTGCAAATTACAAAATAATAATCGCTGAGCATCATGTTCAATCTTATCAGCAGCCTTAAAGAACAAACACTGGTTGGTAATTATTGAATATACATGTATAAAAGTTCTACTACCACTATGATATAACTGTTTGATCTTTAACCCACTGCCTAAATAGAAGTTTTAATAACTTATTAACTTACTGTAGCTCAAAACACACAGGCACTTGTAAATCTTTTTTTTTTGTCTTTTTATGAAATTATACTCCCTATACCTTGATCTGTAGTCAAGGAAAATGTTTTTTTTTTTAATAAAAGAATCTTATTTAAATGGGATCAACTTTTCTTCTTTTTTTATCTATATGCATTACAAGTTTGTGCGCATTGAACTACTTTTTAGCCATATGCTAAATTTCACACCCAAAAAAAGTTTGATAAGCAAAAAAAAAAGAGGGGGGTTGTTGTTAGGATTGAACTTCTTTCAGGACAATTTTTTTTATCAAAACACTACCACTTTGGCAATTATCCATTTGTTGGCTTTAACTATGTATAACGTGCCTGTCGAGAGGGAAGGGGGGTTAAACCCACACCCCAATGACCAATGCCTACATCATATCTTTGCGAAAAAAATGGGGGGGCTATAGGCTTCTCAAAGAATATTCGTATTGATTATAAATGTCTACCTACTTACTTGTGTTACCGTACTATAGTCATGATAGGGTGCCACATGAGGGGTCTGTTGCGAACTATCAACGTTGTCAAACACTGCTATAAATCATAAGATCTTTGCTCTTTAAAAAATCCACGTATTAATAGGCCTATCTGTTTCTTATATATGAACTTTTTTTCATCGAGCAGCATCTTGAACAACCTCGCATGAATTTTAAGAATAACAGCTTCTCTGTGATCATGGTACGTGGTGATCCTCTGTCATGTTAAATACTCAAATTGTATAGCTTTTTTACAAATTAAATACAAGATAAATACCTCAAAAGCTGCTCAAGGAACTCTTTAGTGTATAAGTCAAAAGAATCTGGTACATTCGGCAAAAGTTTAATTCATTCAATGCTATAATATCTCGACAATGTAGATGTAAATAACGTTATCTTTGTAATGCCGGATGTTTTCTATACATCCCGGTGAGGGCGCTGCAATCGGAGGGAAATCATGAATTGCAACCGCATAATGGTTTTTTAGCTCTACTGGTCAGAGACCAGAAGAGCTTATGCGATAGTAATGCGACCGGCGTCCGTCCGTCTGTCTGTAAACAATTTTTCAAAATGCTACTCCTCCTACAGTTTTGGTCTAATTTAAGTATAACTTGGCACACAAGTAGACTACACTAAGATACATAATTCTGTGTATCGGTTTTTGATTTCGATGAACGGTGTTGCCGTGGTTACTAAAAATAGAAATTTCTGTGAAATTCTTTCAAAATGCTACTCCTCCTACAGTTTTGGTCTGATTTAATTATAACTTGGCACACAAGTAGATTGTACTCAGAACATAAAGAGACTTTATCAATGATCATTATTCTATTTATTGCTGTTGTAAAGTTTCAAATCCCAGCTGCTTAAGTACTTTTCTCTTCCTTTGCTATAAGTTCAAACCAGTAGAGCTTCAGTCTCGACAGACTTCTGGTTTTTCTTTGTTGTTGTTTGGTTTCTTTTTACAGTCGTTAGGGTAAGTGTTGGGGTCAAATGACCACAAAAAGGACATAGGAAATATGAAAAGTTTTCAAAAACCATTATGTCAAATGATCCTTCAAGAGGTACCTTAAGAGGGCACAACTTACAAAAACACTTCATTGTCAGAAAGACGTGCATCCATTAAGGCGGTACTTTGTTCGGCCTGAAGTTATTTTCGTCGTATAACACGTCATTCCAGGTAACTGCATGATCAACTGTAGGAAACATAAGACTGAAATGGACAAAAAGGCATGGACACTCAGCAAAATCAGAATGTGTCGAGGTCACTTGCAACTTCCACCTGTTTACCTGATTAATGCATATGTAAAGAGCAAAAAAATATATATAAAGTGTTGTAGCGTAAAGAGTATTAACAGTCTGAGGGGCATCTGCAGGTTTTTGTCACGGGAAGTACAGTGGTGTGATTGTAGATCCCCGGCATTAACATGATGACAATTGTACAAGTACAGTGGTGCGATTGTAGGTCCTCGGCATTAACATAATGACAGTTGTACATGTACAGTGGTGCAATATAAGATTAAAAATAAACTACCGGTAAACCCTAACTTGAAACTTCAACTAAAACTTAACCATAATCTTACACCTAACCTTAATCTTAATTTTAATCTTTCAACCTAATCTTCACCTTTATTTTAAACTTCATCCGAACCTTAAGGTATGTCACTCGTCAGCTTTTTAGAAAAACTCACGCAGATCCTCTTGCTTCAATTCTATTTGTTAAAATTCAATTTTTATAACACATATAAATTCAACAATGTCAATTTTTTAATATTCAACTAAAAAACTGCTCAAAAAGCTATGAGGGAACACTTCTTGTGGTGGAAGGATATTTTGCAGATCATTCATTTATTAAATTTAATATCTCAGAACTTGAGCTTTTCATACTTCACATACAAAATTAAAATTGATATTCAAGCACGCGGATAAATTAATAAGTTCCGGTAATGGTCTACTGTCTATTGTAACTAAAAATCTCTTTCTTTAATTATTATCATATCGCATCGCTCCAGTCGGATGATTGGGTATTTTAATATCATCTCTTTTTCCATGATCTGTAATGATGAAAAATATGTATATATGTAGAAAATTTTAATTGATATTCAAGCACGCAAATTAATTAATAAGTAATGGTCTACTGTCTATTGTAACCAAAAATCTCTTTCTTTTATCTTTACCATATCGCATCGCTCCAGTCGGATGATTGGGAATTTTAATATCATCTCTTTTTCCATGATCTGTAATGATGAAAAATATGTATATATGTAGAAAATTTAAACTGATATTCAAGCACGCGGATTAATTAATAAGTAATGGTCTACTGTATATTGTAACCAAAAATCTCTTTCTTTAAACATTACCAAATCGCATCGCTCCAGTCGGATGATTGGGTATTTTAATATCATCTTTTTTTCAATGAACTGTAATGATGAAAAATATGTATATATGTAGAAAATTCATATTGATATTCAAGCACGCGGATTAATTAATAAGTGATGGTCTACTGTCTATTGTAACCAAAAATCTCACTTCTTCCTGTTGCCTCCATGGGTAGATGCATCTCCGCCGCTTATTGTAGCTGTATGTTATTTCGTCTCCTGAACATATGTCACAGGAGGCGAAAAACACAGTCTGTCATCTATTACATTTTTAATTTAACCTTGTCTGTTATTCTTTTCTTGTAGTCTGTAGGACAGATTTTTTTGATTCGCTGTCTCTTTTGAATTAGAGGAATTCTTCTTCCTTATCCTGGAACACAGTGATAATATGAGGGCCGCCTCTGTAGCATTGTTTCAAGTTTACATCCAAAAGATGTACGCTAACCTGATTGTGGAAATACATTGAAAAATTTCATTAGGCACTGTACTTCAAACCCCCAGTCTTTGTATGAAACATCCTTTAGAGGAGGGTCATCACCACAGAATCGTAGGGTTCTTTCATCTACAAATGTTCTGTTTTTCTGAATAACTTTTTTCAGGGTGGTACAATTAATTTCAGAGTTGGTATGTTTGTTGAATTGGCAATAAGACAGTCTGTTTCTCTATCTCCTCTGGGATTACCTTTTCATTCAATAATCTTCTAACTTCAACATTCATCTAAATCATATATTAAACATAAAGTTTCCAGTTACTTTAAATATAACATAGCAAACTAGACACGGATAATAACCAGTGTAGTTAGTGTTAGTGTGTTATAATTATAGTGGACTAAATGAATGTTTATCATAGCAGCGGATACCGACAATGTCACAATTACTGGTATTAAAATCACCAGGGATGTTGAAACATGATTTATTTTCTCCTTTAAAATTTGTCAAATCATGTGGTTGTAATAGAAAGTTAGATGAAAGCAGCAACCAACTGATTTCAAGTTTGAGAAAAGTTCCTTGAAAAAGGCAAATTATGAAGTGCAACCGTTTAATGTTTTTGTAGTTGATGTTTGGTTTCTTTTTACAGTTGTTAGGGAAAGTGTTGGGGTCAAATGACCACAAAAAGGACATAGGAAATATGAAAAGTTTTCAAAAACCATTATGTCGAATGACCCTTTAAAAGTTACTTGGAGAGGGCACAACTTACAAAAACACTTCATTGTCAGAAAGAGGTACATCCATTAAGGGTTTGCTTTTGTGTTCAGCCAAGTGAAACTCGTATAAAATAAAAATCTCAATATCTTAATAAATACTTCTTGCTGTTTCATAAAACTTAACCCATGGCACCTTCTATTGCAAAGCTATCTTGAAATGTATTAAATTTGGTTGTCAATTGCAATGTCTTGCAGCAGCAATGTGCATAATACACTTGCAGGACTGCACAGCTGCAGGTCTAATAAAACAATAAAATGACATTTGTCGTATACCTACAGATAGTTGAACGTCATGGGTACAACTATTTGTTTTGTTCCTAGCAATAATATGCGTCTCTTTTCTATAGTTGTATGTTTTTCACCACCTAGGCATGTCTGCCATGCGAAATCGGTGGGCTGCCATTCTCATGATTCCGGAATTGAAAACTATTGAATATTTCTGTAATCTGTTGTCTATAGTGCCCCAATTACACAAAGCAATTGTAGAGAGATATCTCTTAAAACATGTCCATGTGTTGAAAGTATCGATCGACATATTTAATACTGTTTTTTTCTAAGAGTTACATAGATGTTTACATCATATCATAGAATGCTCCTTCTTGGATTTTACAATGGACCTGATGAATTAATACGCGCCCAGTTTTAGCAGTTCCGATTGAAGTTAACCCCTGTTATTTCTTTTGCAGGTAAGGCTATAAAATACTTTTTGTTAAATAAGTATATTAATCCTACAGGTACAGTGCGATGTCAAAAAATTTTAAACACTATTGCAGGAAAATAAAGAACTATATTCGCTATGCGTAGTTTATTTCTGAGGTCTGTCATACGATATTCGGGTAAAGTGAAAGTAGGAGTTGGTAAGTCGAATTTTTGTGTTTATTGTGAATTTTGAGCCTTATCTCAGATATCTTACATAACTGCTAGTGTCAGTAATACATTTTGAGTATGACAAGCCTGTGATCTAGTGCACATCAATTTTAAATAGGTTAAACATTATACGGAGGATCCAAAATTTCCACGTGGTTCTTACAGACCACGATTAGGTAGCGAGGAACTAATAAATGTTACTTTGTTTCAAAATACCAAAAAACTTTCGAAATCGTCTCCAAATACTGTGAAGTTAAAAACAGGGCTTCAAAAATATGAGTAGAGTAAATTTTGTTTTATTAATGAACGATTAATACTTGTGTAAGATCGGATCATCCTTCACTGAGCCTCAGTCACTCAAAGTTAAATGTCCAATGACGGCGGCTCTACGTAGTAAACAAATATGGTAAATCAGTTGTGTTACTTGTAAAGGAAAATTTTGATATTCAAATGTTATTTCTTTTTTGTTGTATTTTTTGTGAAAAGAAGTTCACATGTTGCAAATATAATAATTCTTTATATAATGATATTCACACAAGATTGTACTATTTATATACAAGTCATTTTGGACCATACTCATTCTAATTTGCTGAATGATGTTCGAGATATTGAAGCAAACCTCTATTCTTTTAAGACCTCAGTGATAAATAATTTTGGGATGCACTTTCAGTAAATAAAAACCATTCTGAATCAGTCAAAACACTGACACCCTTCAACAAAGACAGTTAGACTAATATTATTTAATAGCTAGATTTAATTTAAAGAATTTCCTTTTAACTTTTTAATAATATTTATGTAACTATGTTTACCATGTTTACAGAATGCCTTGTTTCACTAAAAAGAACATTGCTCAGATATTTCTCTGGACTACCAATTTCTGTACTTCATGTGATGCTTGTGTTGCAGCCCTCCCAAGAACTTCCCTTGTAGGTGTTCTATAATAAGGTATGAGATGAGTTTTATATCACAATGAAGTGATTCTGTAAATTTTAAACGAGGATTTAACACAGTATAATATACTAGCTGTTATATCATAGTGAGCTGATCATTTTGTATTATTGAATTCAAATGTTCTTCTATGTGTATAGAATGGAAGAGTGTATAATTTTTATGATGAGAAATGTATATGCCGTTGGATGAAAAGAGAGATGTCGTTTAAATGAATGTTTACATGTGTCCATCAAATTGTCTCAAGCCATGGTCAGAGTCTGCCTTTAGCTCTCTCTTTACAGTGCAACTAACTTTGTTTCAGCATCGATGCTGATTTGAATGCTTTCTTTGCTTGCTGATGCTGATATTGGCAATGCTTAGCAGCTAGCTGGGTTTTTTTTAAAGCTTATCCTGATGCTAGGTTGTTGCTGAATTAAAGCTGATGCTTATTTTGCTGATGCAGATGCTGATTTATGTAACAAAATTAGTTCCTTGTACTGTTCCCATGGCTGCTTGAGCAGGTAAATTAATAATCAAGCCATATGTAGGCCTATAATATCATGTTATAAATCAATGTACATGTACGTATATTGCATTGACCTTAACAGTAAACAACAAATGTTCGGTAAATAGTCTGGATGAAGAAATTAAGGTCAAATCAGAGATTATTTTTATGTAATAAAAATCTTCAATCTCATTTGGGAGGGACTGTTTCTTATCATCATCTTGTAGCTTACTAACAGTAACACAGGTCATTATAACAGGTTTTTGATATTCTGCAATCAAATCCTGACCTTGTCAACCTTAAGATTTTGTTCTGAAACTTGTTTGCCTCATTTAAGATTATGATCTTATATGCTTGTCTCATTTACTTCCCAAGGAAGAATGACATGACCACCAGTTGAGTTTACCTTGATCTTATTTATAGCTGACCTCTTTGTATACATATTAGAATATTTATCTCTAGTATATGCATTGGATTAAACTACTGTGATCTACACAATTGTAAATTAAAATGAGAAACACATGTATATTCAATGCAACAAAACATTTTGGCAAATATTTACAATGTTACCATAATTGCTGAGAGATGTGTAACCTTTGACCCTGAAATATACTTGTCTATCTTTTAATGCTTCTTTCTTAGTCATGATGTATAGATTTATAATCCAATTCAATTTTCTTCTTTGATAGTGATACTGTATTGGTTTTTTGTTATGTTAATATATTATTTTACAGATTTCAAAGATAAAGAGGAAATGGTTCTAATGATAGAGATTGTCCATGTTGGTTTGTCTCAATCTTTTGGAAAACAGTGTTGGAGAAAATATCAGCAACAAATGAAGACTCTGATCTAATTTATTACTATGTGACTTGAAAGTTATTTGATTTTATGGTAGTATTTACACATGTGTTGAACTTTCCGAATATTGTTGAAAAAGATCATATGATGACAATAAACAAAAATACATATAAGAACTTTCCACAAGTTTCCAATGAAGAACATTTAGGGATCTTGGTAAAGGATATTATAATTAGATTTTTTACCTAATTTATATGTGTTCTTGTGCAGTGCATTAAATGCACAAAATGTTTTTAAATCAGTCTTTTGAAACCAGTGCTGAGAACACAGGTCTGAGATATCCTCATACTGCAGTTATATTGTTAAGATTGAAGTTTATTTTTAAAATTATACCTTAATTATATCTGTAAAAAAACTTTTTAAAAAATGAGTCAAATTTGCATATGCTGGTTAATATGTTAAAAGAAATATTATATTCTGGAAGAGATGAAGAATTAAAAAAAAGTTCATTTATCAACCTTTTGTTTTGTTCTTTTTTGTGAATTTTTTTTTACAATAATCAAAGACATTTTAATATCTTAAGTCATCATAGCAAAAGGCTGTATGGAGCTTTTCTGTTCAAAGGGTCTCTGGTGTCTGTTAACTCTGTTTATTTGTCATCCATGAAAATTAAACCCTAAACAAGGGTATCAAAGTCTTGCATGGGAATGCGTAGTAAAAAATAGTCCTTTAACGAGCAACAGGGTAATGATTTACTCATAATTAAATGCAAGCATTCTCAAATACTGAAGATTCAAGTTGTCTAAATCATGGAACAGACCTAATATTAATAATATTAAAATATTTCCCATTTGTATTTTCATTTTTAGCTCACCTCAACGAAGTTGGGGGAGCTTATGTAATACCCTCGGCGTCCCCGTCGGCGTCGGTGTCGGTGTCGGCGTCCCAGGTTAAGTTTTTTGGAGCAGTTTTCTTTTAAAGTTCTTCTATGTCCTGTATTGATTAGACATGCATGGAAGATGCTTCTAGTGTGTTTCATTGTACCAATCAAAGTTTCAGATGCTGCATATTTCAGCAAAGGAATGACCAGGTTAAGGTTTTTTGAGCAGGTTAACATTTTTGGTGCAGTTTTTGGTGTTGGTGTCATTTCCAAGCAACTATAAGCCCTATGTTGACCAAACTTGCATGGATGATACATCTAAGGATGTACACTACCGGGTATGATTCGGATGCTGAATCTGACCTACATTTTCTGGTTGAGTGAACAGGTTAATGTTTTTGGTGCAGGTCTCATTTCTTAGTAACTATAAGTCCTATGTTGACCAAACTTGCACGGATGATACATCTAAGAATGCACACGTACTACCAGGCTTGCTTCAGATGCTGAATCTGACCTACATTTTCTGGTTGAGTGAACAGGTTAATGTTTTTGGTGCAGGTCTCATTTCCAAGTAACTATAAGCCCTATGTTGACCAAACTTGCACGGATGATACATCTAAGAATGCACACTACCAGGCTTGCTTCAGATGCTGAATCTGACCAAAATTTTCTGGTTGAGTGAACAGGTTAAAGTTTTTGGTGCAGTTCTCATTTCCAAGTAACTATGAGCACTATAATGACCCAACTTGCATGGATGATGCATCTAAGGATGCGTCCTACCAGGCTTGCTTCGGATGCTGAATCTGACCTATATTTTCGAGTTGAATGAACAGGTTAAAGTTTTTGGTGCAGGTCTCATTTCCAAGATCACTATCTGACTATAATGACCAAACTTGCAGGTTTGATACATCTTAGGATGCATACTTCCAGGCTTGCTTCGGATGCTGAATCTGACCTACATTTTCCGGTTGAGTGTACAGGTTAAATTTTTAGGTGCAGTTTTCATTTCCAAGATACTTCGAGCCCCATTATGACCAAACTTGCATAGATGGTACATCTTAGGATGCATACTACCAGACTTACTTCGGATGCTGAATCTGACCTACATTTTCCGGTTGAGTGAACAGGTTAAAGTTTTTGGTGCAGGTTTCATTTCCAAGTAACTATGAGCCCTATAATGAGCAAACTTGCATGTACGATACATCTTAGGATGTACACTTATGGACTTGCTTCAGATGCTGAATTAGACATACATTTTTCAGATGATGGGCCAAGTAAAAGTTATGGGTGTAGGTCTATTACCGAAAACTATAAGGCTTATATAACATTGTATAAACCAAACTTGCACAAATAATGCATGAAGGGATGAAAACTTTCAAATTTACTTCAGAAGCTGGATTTTAATTACATTTTCATGAAAAAGATTTAGTTTGAACTTTTTATATAGCTCTTTTCCAAAGTATCAGATCAAAATTGCATAAATATTTTCTTTTTGGGATGTACACTTTTTTGGTGAATTGTGTGACTTTGCCTCACTTAAAGACAACATTCGTTGAGGTGAGCTCTGTAATCTCTGATTACCTATGTTTTTCTTCTTCTGGGATCAGATTTTATATAACTGGTCATTGCATATATACATACAAGTGGGGAAAACCAGTTAACATTTTTCTTCAGAATAAGCATTGTTAGCCATATTGATGATGAAATATCCTCATGTTGTGGAATCAATTTTGGATTAGATGTGGCCTTATGACCCCTAAGTGGGGCCAAAATATTGGCCCATATTTGTTTTTCACGAGAATTAAGGGAGATAAGAATGTCTTAGAAATCTGAAGAACACCAATATGACTCATTAGTAAACATTGTGGACCTAGTGTCATTTAAATTGCACACTTTCATTACCCTACAGATTGTTAATCTCTTATTTAGCATATTTTTTAAGGAGAAAACTAATTGTCTAACATGAATTTGCCTGTTTTGTACACACCTAATCCTTTAGATAAATTTGGGCTTTCATATAAAGTGCTATTTATAGAACAACAGTGAGTCTCTTTAATTCTATTTTTAACACATTGCCATGCGGTTGGCACTACTTTCTTGGCTAACATTTTCTTGTTGAACTGACAAGTATGCATTTAAAGAATTGTACCTGTTGCAGTCAGTTTTCAATTAAAACAATGGTTCTTCACAAATAGTTGTAGCCACTTTGTTTATTTAACTATTTCAAATTTTTTTGGATTTTTTAATGCACTGTTATAACCTGTGGCTGCGCAGTCCTGCAGGTGTTTAGTGCACTTCATAGCTGCAAACTACTGCAAGTGTCAATGTAGCTGCATATACCCAAAGATGGTTTTCATTATGAAGATGAAATGGACCAGTTTTCAAGTGTTGGCAAGGCTTATTTTTAAAGATATTAAGGTTTTAATTTTCAGTGAGTCTCACTTGGCTGCACACAATAGCAAACCCTTAAGGCGGTATTTTGTTCGGTCTGAAGTTACTGTAAATGTATTATATTTGGCGTGTACGATATTTGGCTGAAATTCAATTTTCAACAAGTTAGCGTAGATTTGATTTAGCGCTGTCTGAATTTGCTAGTTATAAAAGTTGATATACAAGACATTTAGCGATGTACTTGAATTAGCGGACTCTACTTTCCGCCAAAATCGCTAAATAGAATACACCGCTAAATGTAATACGTTTACAGTAATGTTGTCGTATAACACGTCATTCCAGGTAACTGCTTGATCAGCTGTAGAACGGGAAGTACATTGGTGTGATTGTAGGTCCTCGGCATTAACATAATAACAATAGTACAAGTACAGTGGTGCGGTTTTAGGTCCCCGGCATTAACACAATAACATGTAATCATCAAAAGAACAGTGGTGTGATTGTAGGTCCACATTAACACAATAACGGGTAATCGTCATGGCAAGTACAGTGGTGCGATTTTAGGTCCCCGGCATTAACACAATAACAATAGTATATGTACAGTGGTGCAATATAAAATTAAAAATAAACTAAACCCTAACTTGAACCTTCAACCTAACCTTAAGGTAGTTCTATACTCGGCACTAAATGGGCTCAATCTTAAAAAATCTGCTTTTAAAAGATAGACATACATCCCAGCAATGGATAGATACAAGAAAAATGATATGTCAACATATTTACTTTTCCGCTATTGCCTATCGGAGTATACACCCCGAAATGTAAAATACTGAAAATTAACATATCCTAGATTTTGATGTATTTAAATGGATTCAAGTCTAAATATTCGACTTTAATACCCTAAAGAGAGTAGAAATATGTTAGTCAACAATATATTATCATTGTTTTGCATGAATTATTATAAATTGATGCACTTTGTTGGGCTAACGTATTCAAATTTAATATGAAAAAATTATGCTCCACAGGTCAATCTCGGTCATTTAAAAAAAAAATTATGGACTCAAACTTCGAAAAATTGTATTATTTTTACTTAATAATATTTAAGAAAAAGATTAAGCTAAAAAAAATTATATGTTGACGCATAACTTTTCGTGGTATGAGCTGTACACTAAAGGTACCCCCCTAATTTCCTTTTTCCAGAAATAATATATTGCCACATTTTCCCGTAATACTGTTAATGTTTGAGTGTATATTTGTATTAACAAAGTTGTATATATCTAAAACAATAATTAAAAAACACCCAATACCTATTGTCACTAAAATTTATCTTATTTTACTATTTAAAAAATTAAAACACATGCACCTGTCTGTAAATTGGAGACAATGAAAATGAAAGTGATTGACTGATTCTCACATACTGGATAATTTTGTTACAGAAAGTAAGTATGCTGCATGTGAATCAACTTTTGTCATATACTAATATTCAAAAGATAATTTTGCATTAATTCGTGGGTAAGCAGTTGGGGGGGGGGGGGGGGGCGTCTTATACAAAATTATTATTCAAAGTAAATTTTGTACTGTTTGATTAGTAAAACTTCTATCTTGTCTAAGTCAAATCGTAGTCATTACTTTTCTTCCGAATTATCACTAGTCGCGAGAGTTTGATACAAGTCATGTATACATGGTATGATGTAGCAAGTTATCAGCACGGCATATAGCACATGCATCACTCACAGAAATATCGTTTTATTACCTTATTATTTCTGTCAACCAGAAGTTGTTCCCAGCCTTCTTTTTTAATTAATTTATCCTTAAAACTGTAGAATCAGTGTTTGTACGTTTGTTGACCCGAGCGACTTGGAGAAAAATCGGGGTGTTGCTAAAACGCGGAACGGAAAACGGAACGGAACGGAAAACGGAATATATTATTTTTGCTTAACGAGGCCGGGTCTAATTCGAGTGCGCATCACATTGCGCAGCTTTTTAATTTCATGCAGTCATTTGTGTGACAGTACACTGCTGAAAAGTATTTAATTTTTTTTACAAAATTAACATTATTTGCAACTCCTACTGATCTAAAAATGTGATTTTACGACAATTATTGGAAAAAAAAACTTTGAAATGGCTCTAACAACGTCACCATTTTCGGATTTTGTAAGCAATGCATGACGCTGAAGAA